AACAGACCTGCACGTGCACCCCCTGAACCTAAAATAAAAGTTGAAATTATACATATATGTATACATACATGTATGTGTGTATATATGTGTATGTATACAGATATGTATGTACATGTATATGTGTATATATAAATAAGAGTGTACTTAATTCCAGAGGGTGGCTGAAAGGGAGGAGAGAAATAAAAAATTATATATGGAAGAGGCCCTCCTTTCTCTCTCTTTTGACATTGACAAAGTATAAAATAATAGCCTTGTCTAAATGCCATTAGAATTGGTCACACTTTGTCATGTTTGATGAGTTGAGGTCATTGTTTTCTCCCATCCTCGATCCTGACCTCTTCCCCCAACCCTTCCCCACCACCCTACAATTATCATCATAATTTTATATTCATAAATATTTAAGGGGAAACTATCATTATTATATGTTTTATAAGTTATTAAAAATTCTATGTTCTTGTACATGTGATTGTATACCCTGCATTTTAGAGGTTCATTTTTTATCTCTTGTATTTTGAGAAACCATTGGCACCTGCTAATGCTTCAGAGTTAAACTGCACCTTAGCAACTTCTTTTTGTTTATGATGACATATATGTGGCATAGATTTACATTTTTTTTGTGGATTTTGTGATTTTTCTATATAGAAACACACTCTTGTTAGTCCAGATTGATAACAATAGATATTTCTTAACCCACAGCTCCTCAACCAAAAGCAGCCCCAAGAACTTTTCTTCGTCCTAGTCCTGAAGATGAAGCAATATATGGGTATGTATTTCAGTCTCTCTTTGTTTTCCCTTCTTCCTTACAGCTCTTTCTCTGTAACTGAAATCCAGAAGAGTGGTTTTTTTTAGATGGTGATTTTTTTTTTTTTTTTGCCTAGATGGTGATTTTGTACATTATCAGCCACCTTTAACAAACCCCCATTAGTAGTGCTTATGAGAAAGAGGAATCATTTGTATGAACAGCAAAATGTAGAAGTGGGTGAACTTTGTGATGTTACTGTTGTCTGTTTATCTACCCATCTAGCTACCTTTCCAGAGTGTTACTCTGAATATTTGTGTTTGTCAGATAAATTCACTCCCAAATAGGTGAAGTATTCCTAAACTACGGTGCCCCATGGTGACTACACTAATGTGATGGACCCAGTGTCTGTCCGTGTCGGGGAGGGAGAAGGAGTGCTGCTGCGCTCTGCCCTTGATAATCAGAACCCCTAGTTCAGCAGGGTTCAAGGGCAGCAGCCTCCTGCATTAGGATACTGCTTCTTTGTACCCAGACTGTGTCTTTGACAAGAATGCAGTGCAAGCAGGCCTTCCTTTGGAAGAATTTTAGCCCTAACTCTGCCCTTTATTTGCTTTCTCATCTTGACTGCGTTGCCATAAAGATTCTGTAATTCTACATCTTCACCAGTAACAGGGACCTACTGATACTCATCTCATGGTCCCAAGAAAGATAAAATTGTAGGATATATGAGATATATGAGAAAAATGAAAGGGCTTTGTAAACTATAAATTACTGTATAGCTAGAAGAAATTAAATCTCTCATTTGCTAAATTTGTTCTCCCTTTTAAAAAATATCTCCCATCTTTCCTTTCTGAAACGGAACCTATTGCAGCCCTAATACCAAAATGGTAAGGTTCAAAAAGGGAGACAGCGTGGGCCTCCGGTTGGCTGGTGGCAATGATGTTGGGATATTTGTTGCTGGCATTCAAGAGGGGACCTCGGCAGAGCAGGAGGGCCTTCAAGAAGGAGACCAGATTCTGAAGGTAAGAACAGTCCAGCTCTGTTTCTAGAAGTTACTTGTAAGGGGTGTGCTTTTCTGGGTGTTCTTTCTGTAAGGGAAGAGAAAGTGGTTCAGCTGGTGAAATAGAGCAGCTGCGAGTTTGTTGATGCCCAGCGTTGAAGTCTCTGTATTCCTCAAATGGGTCCTGTCGGTCTTGGAACCCAGAACTCATCCATGTATCCGTGAGAAGTGATAGTGTTTCAGTTCTTGCCAAGATTTTATTAGTCTGATTAATGTGAAAACACTGAGACTCTAAGTAAGCACTTACAGGAAAGATTCTTCAAAAAGATCTTTCTGATTTTTGCTTTTTTCACTGTGTTCCCCCTGACTGCCATCTTTCTTAAGGCAGTGTCCTGTAATTGAACAAAGGTGAGTGTTGGCATCAGACTGGGTGATTTGAATTTCGTTCCACCCTCTTATTAGTTCTGTGACCCTGGTTCACCCTGAGACTCGGGTTTCTGTATCTGTTTAATGGGGATGAGAATACCTGCCTCTCAGGGACCCTGGGAAGATTAGACCAGGTAACACTTACAAGGCAGAGTTCCCTGGCACCGAATAGGAAGGTCAGTGTCCATTCTTTTTTCTTATTGGAAGATAACAAATAGCTGCTACTCAATGTTATTTACATCTAAAATTGTCCAGGAAAGGGAATTCCTGGTTAATCAAATATTGATACATTTAAAGTTACTACGTGTTAGTATAATCTGTTAAAGAAATAAAAAATAACTTGCGTGTGTGTGTGTGTGTGTGTGTGTGTGTGTGTGTGTATGTAGCATTCTTTGTTGACTTCAGAATAAATTTCAAGAACATCAAGTACCTACTTACAATAAAAATATAGAATACTAGGGAACTGTCTTTTTTTGACAGTCTCGCTCTGTCACC